TTTTATTTACTGTGGTTTGAACTCAGGGCCTTATTTTTTGCCAGGCACTTTGTCTACCCGTGAGCCACTTGCCCAGCCCAAATGGCTTACGACTGTAATCCTCTTATTTATGACCTCCTTCATAGCTAAGATTACAGGTGTTCACTACAATCCTAGGCTTATGGGTTGAGATGGCGGGCTCACTAATTTTTTGCTCAACTGGCCTTGAAATCCTTTGTATCTTTCCCTCCCAAGTAGCTGAGTTTATAGCTATGAGCTACCATACCCAGCACAATTTTGTGTATAATGCTGGTAGTTTAAAATTGTTTCTGTGTAACAGAACAGTTTCCTGTGCTTTCCCTGGCTTTCCTATCTCACATTTCTTACTTTGTGAAAGCAAGGCACTTAGCACATGTTGAATAGTGTTTATTTAGCATCTTTAAGTAACATGCTTATTACTGTTATCTTAAAAAAATTGGTGTGTGTGTGTGCATGTGTGGGTGTGTGTGCGCGTGTGAGCACCCGCCAGAATGAGAGCTCAGTTTAGGACTTTGTTCTTTTATTTAAAGACTTTTTCACTCATAACTGGCACTCTACCACTTGAGCCACACTTCTAATCCAGAGTGTGTGTGTGTGTGTGTGTGTGTGTGTGTATGTATTTATATACATATATATGTTAATTGGGAATAGAGTCTCTTGGGCTTTCCTGCTTTGGCTAGCTTTGAACCTTGAATCTCAGATCTCAGCCTCCTGAGTAGCTAGAATTATAGGTGTGAGCCATTAGTGTCTTATTGCTTTTTTTTTTTTTGGTCATGGGGCTTCTGGGCCTGGGTGCTGTCCCTCAGTTCTTTAGCTAAAGGCTAGCGCTTTACCACTTGAGCCATAGCTCCACTTCCGGCTTTTTTCTGCTTATATGGTGCTGAGGAATTGAACCCAGAGCCTCATGCATGCAAGGCAAGCACTCTACCACTGAGCCACCTTCCCAGCCCTTACTGCTACCTTTTTATTTTCCAACTTCAGTTCCATCAACTGTCTAATACAGAAAATGAGACAGTTGTTATCAACTTCCTTTTTCCCCTCTATTTTCTATATGGCTGTGTTGGGATTTTGAATATAGTTGATTATTTAATGTTTACATTATTATGACTATATAAATACTATTCACAGTTGAAAATTTCCGTGTATAATCTTTACTTTTCCTGTCCAACTTACTAACTCTTCTCTTTCTGTTTGGTTACATCTCTTGTCACTAATTTAATGTCTTTGTTCCTCTCATTTTTCTTTTTTTTTTTTCTTTCGGTCCGGTCGTGGGGCCTGAACTCTGGGCCTGGGTGCTGTCCCTCAGCTCTTCAGCTCAAGGCTAGCACTACACCACTTGAGCTACAGTGCCACTTCCGGCTTTTTTCTTTTTGCTTATGGGGTGCTGAGGAATCGAACCCAGGGCCTCAGGCATGCAAGGCAAGCGCTCTACCACTGAGCCACCTTCCCAGCCCAACCTCTCATTTTTCAAAATGCCTATCAGGTTGGAAAACACAAGAGTGTTACTTTTATTGGCTGGAATCTGTCATCCAGGGGCTTTCTGGTTGGCTCCCCTCTGAATAGTGGCTCTCTTCCTGCCACTCAAGCATCCTGGGAATTGTTCAGCTTGCTGATGTCGTCTCTGGGGGATTTCCCTGTGCTTTTCAGTTTAGCAGGGCCACCTATTTCCTAACCATCCTTTTTCTTTCTTGACTTCTTTCCTTGTTTCATACTGTATCTTCTTAAGAAAGTGTTTGGGAAATAGATATGGTTTTTGAGACATTACAGGTCTGGACATAACTTATTTTCTCCTTAATACAGTTTTTTGTTAGCTTAGTTTACTATAGCATTTTGTGTTGTAAGTCATTTTCCTTCTGTATTTTATTTTATTATTTATTTATTTATTTATTTTTATTTTTGGTTGGTCATGGGGCTTGAACTCTGGGCTTGGGTGCTGTCCCTCAGCTCTTCAGCTCAAGGTGAGCATTCTACCGCTTGAGCCACAGCACCACTTCTGGTTTTCTAGTGGTTTATTGGAAATCGAAGTCTCATGAACTTTCCTGCCTGGGCTGGCTTTGAACTGTGATCCTCAGATCTCAGCCTCCTGAGTAGCTAGGATTACAGGCCTGAGCCACCGGCGCCCAGCTTAGTACATTTCTTATATAGGTACATATTCTTGTAGGTATATAAGACTATAAAACTATAATATCAAGTTCCAGAAACATTGTAGACATTTTTTTGTAGAAATACACTTTGGGGAAAATAATGTTAAAAAAATTTTTTTTTTTTCTGGTCCTGGGGCTTGAGCTCAGGGCCTGGGTGCCGTCCCCCATCTTCTTTGTGCTCAAGGCTAATGTTGTACCACTTGAGCCACAGCACCACTTCCCACTTTTTCAGAGTAGTTTATTGGAGATAAAAGTCTCATGGACTTTGCTACCCAGGCTGGCTTTGAACCACAATCCTTAGATCTCAGCCTCCTGAGTAGCTAGGATTATAAGCATGAGCCACTGGTGCCAGGCTGGAAAATAATGTTTTAAATTTAATCAATCTCATCAACAAGCCCATTCTTAGAATATTTTCTTTTAAAAACTAAATTTTTGTTGGGTGCTGGTGGCTCACGTCAGTAAACCTAACTACCGTGGAGGCTGAGATCTGAGGATTGAGGTTCAAAGCCAGCCTGGGCAGGAAAGTCCATGAGACTTACTTCTAGCTAACCACCAAAAAACCCAGAAGTGCAGCTGTGGCTCATGTGTTAGAGCTTTAACCTTGAGCCAAAAAGCTCAGGGACAGTACCCAGGCCTTGAGTTTTTAGACCCCAGGACTGGCACCACAAAACAAAAACAAAAACAACCAAACAAAAAATCTGTCCCCCCCCCCCACCACCAAAAACAAACAAAAAAATTCTACAATTTTAACTTTTATATTTTGTAAATTTTACAAATTTTTGTTGGTCCCCCCTTTGAAATGTTCAAAGCTAATATGCATTTCCCTAGTACTGTATTTTAAGACATCCAAAACACACATTTTAAAATAAAATATATTCCTAGGTATGTGAAAAGAAGGAAATGGTAGTCTGCCATCCACAGTGAAGATGCAGAGTGCTGGACTATGAGGACATGAGTATTCACACACATGTTCTCTTCTGGATCTAGATCTGCACTTAGGAATCTAATGGCATTTGATTCATTACCACAGGCAAACAAGCTGAAATGATTGCTCCACCTTGGTATTTGTCTTTGTTTTCAAATTTTCGGGCCTCTTCAACCTAATTTGTTGGGTTGTGACTTATGAAAACACATAAGAGCATAACTCTAAAAATTCCATTCTTTTGAAACCATAGTATTTAATCATGGCATTTGTAAAAGCTAAAAATATTTTTTTAATTGTCTCATGAGATTTGTGGGATGAACATGGAAAAGACAAAGTTGACTTTATAGTTTGACTTGGTTAATTCTCAGTATCCATATCATTCATCATGAAAAATGTGATCACACACAGATTCTGTGCATTCACTATGCAAAATTCACGTGCATTCCATTTCTAACCGACCAGTATCGAGAGTTGCTGAAAATCTGGTTTATATTTTGTAAGTGCTTTGTGTAGATGACTTGGTTAGCTTTATTTATTAATTTTTTGAGAAATTCATCTTTTAAGGATGTTTCATCAGATGGTTAAGTTGTGGGCAATGGAGATATTCTGGTTAATTCAATAATCTATTTCTGTCTACATAAATTCCTTGTAGTGTCTTTACCCACTGAGTTTCTATGAAAATAAATTATCTTTGCCTGTTAAAAAAAATCCTTCAGTTCTGTGTGTTTTGTCATTACTTTCTTTTGACAGTTTTTGTAGTTTTCTTTTGGTGCATTAGTGTGAGCTTTAGCTAGGGCATGCTACAGAAGGTTCCATAAAATTCAAGCTGTAGAAAAGAAAATGCCTTTAAGACTGCTAATGAACATATGTTAATTTTTATAGCTTTTTTAAGAAGTGGGAGAGGATTGCTTTCCTGTAATGAGTTCCTCGTTTAGTAATGAGTCAAGGATATTCTAATGAATATTTGGATGTGTTTACTTTAAAAAAATACAAATTGGAACCAGTTCATACTGACCAGAATGTTACCTAGAACTACCAATTCACAATTATAGGCGCCCTAGTGGAGGTCCAGAGTTTGTACAAAGTTTACTTTCCATTTTCAAGTATGCCACCTGAGTTTATTTTAACTTTTCAGGTTCTAGCCCACATTTCATCCTTCCCTTTTAAAAGACACATTTAGGACAAAGCAAAGCCTCTCTTCTCCTGCTTTATTTCTTCTGTACTGTCAGGATGAAGTCGAGAGGAATTCTGGATATTCACTTGTGTTTTTCTCATCCTCAGTCTCCCACGAATACATGACTTGATTTATCTTGATCAGCCTAGTTAACTTGCTCCATATTTTTTTCCAAAAGTGCAAAAGCAGTTTCAGCTAAAAATAAAACATATCAAAATGCTCCCAAACTTGTGGCCTCCATTCAAATATGCTGATCAATTTTGAAAATCTAAATCAGCCCTGGCCCATGAAACTGGGATGGAGGGGGAGGGGGGGAGGAACCTTTGTGGTGGAGGACAGATTTCCAAAAACTCACCACAGCCCTGTTCTTAGCTGGAGTTTGTGCTGATATTGCCAGTCAGCTGAGGGATAGATGCAAAAAGCAGGAAGCATTATTGAATTGAGCCCCAGTGCCAATTTGGGAAAGCAAATTAAAATGTAAAAGAATATTTTTTCCACTCCTGGCGTCTCAACATAAAGTGGCAAAAATACATGGTTCCTGAAATTGCTCATTTTGCCAAAAAGGAAAGCCAAGTACTAATTTTCTTGGTGATAAAGATGCACATATAGTTAACTTTTTTCTCAAGTCAAATGAAATAGTTTTATGAATCAGAATGTATGTACATTTACTATTGGAAAAATATCTCCACATAAATGACTGAATTGAGGCTTATTTCATTGTCTTTGGATATTATTCCAGGTGCTGCCTGAAGAATGGATGATGATGATTTTGGTGGTTTTGAGGTATGTATTGGTGTTGTTATTATGTTTTTAACTCTGCAGGGTTCTAACTAACTATTTTGAAAAACATACCATTTCTCATTGGTATTCCTCATCATGTCTTAATCACTTTGTGATTCTGGAAAGCAAAATGAAATGAAAGCCGGGCACAGATAATTCACAACCATAATCCTAGCTACTCAGGAGATTGAGATCTGAGGATTGCTGTTCGACCCCAGCCTGTGTGGCAGAGTCCATGAGATGCTTTCTCTCCAATTAACCAGCAAAAGGCAGAAGTGGAGCTGTGTTAAAGTGGTAAAGTACTACCCTTGAGCAAAAAAGTTCAGTGATAGTGCCCAAGTCCTGAGTTCAAATCCCGGTAATGGCACACGCACACAAAAATGAGATAGAAGAAAATGAAGGAAAAAATATGATCCTCTTGAAAGTGAAAAGTCATTTGTGATCATTAAAGTTTGCTTTTGCCCATAGGAATGGTTTAAATGGAGGTAATAAAGTGATACCAATAGAGTACTGAAGCCAGCTGCCAGCAGGAGAGAGAGGTTGCTGCTTAGGCCCCTGTCTTCCAGAATCCCTGGGAGCTGAGGGGTGCCTTGCCGACCCTGCACACTCTGCCTGGTCACACCTGTAGTGAGCTGATGTAGTATGTGAAATGCACAGCCCGTGGTGTATGAAGCTAATTGGTATGTTTGCATTGCTAGAATACTCTGTCAGGTTTCTGTTGGCGATTTCCTAAGTGGAAATTATTAGCTGAAGAGGTAGTGTCTTTTCCTTAATCCTTTTCAATGTGTGTTCACTTTATTGAAACATTTTATAACCCAGTTATTTTTATGGAGCCAGTATAGTCTTGCAGGAAAATCTCTGGATTAAGACTCAGGATGCCTGAGCTTAAGTACTGGAACTACCATCAAGTAAGCTTTGTGATCTTTCCCTCCCTCCTATTCCTCCTTCTCTTCCTCTCTCCCTCCCTTCCTCCCTTCCTTCCCTTCTTTCTTTTCTTTCTCCCTCACCCCTTTTCTCTCTCATGTTTTCAAAGGGGATTTTAAAAATATTTGGATTTGGTAAAAATGGAATTGTAAATAATTAGTATAATTAATGCTACACAAAGTATGCACACAGTGTTTCTGAATTACATAGAATATGGTATGAGATTTTAGCTTTCTTGTTCTGTTCATATATATATTGTATGTATAATATATATTATATATATATTTGGTGCCAGTCCTTGTGCTTGAACTCTGGGATTGAGTGCTGTCCCTGAGCCATTTTGCTCAAAGATAGCACTCTACCACTTTAAACCACTTCTTGTTCTGTTTATCTTATTACAATCTGTCATTATGGAGGACTTCAGTGTATGGGCATACTGCTTTCTTGTGTCCTATCTGAAACTTTTTAATTTTTATGTTTAACACATTGAGTATTGTTTTCATTTTAATATACATATTTTATTAGGTGGTAGAATATTTTTCATGTTGCTTGAAATATTTTGTTAGAATTCCTTCAATTCTGAGGGAGATAAACGTTTCAGATTATTATTTGGTTTAGTTTATCATTTGGAAATTGTTATATATAATATATATAATGGTTAAACATGTTATCTACTATATAATATAGTGTATGTGATATATAATTTATAATATGTGCTATATAAAACACATGACATGTTATATATGTATACATCTATTATATACATATGTGGCACATATGTTATATAGTACATTTTTTTTTTCCATCATGGGACTTGAACTCTGGACCTGAGTGTTGTCCCTCAGCTCTTCAGCTCAAGGCTAGCACTCTACCACTTGAGTCATAGCACCGCTTCTGGTTTTCTGGTGGTTTATTGGATAGGAGTCTCATGGACTTTCCTTCCCAGGCTAGTTGTGAACCACAATCCTCAGATCTCAGCCTCCTGAGTAGCTAGGATTACAGGCGTGAGCCATGGGTGCGTGGCTTATAGTACAAATTTTTATTTACATATATTACAGTATATGTTATGTATTATATATAATATATGCACACACATATGTGCTCATTGGAGTGACAGTTCCACCCCAGTGTTTACCTTCCATACATCTATCCTTTTGATGCTACTTAGATACAGTATTAGCTCACATTACAGTTGAATTGTGGTTATTAGCTCACTTTTCATAGTTTGTAGAGAGTAGCCATTAGCTTCTGTGCTTCTGTGGCAGACTGCCCCATTCAGCTCCTTTTATGAGACAGCTAGGATAGAATATGAATACAAATTGAGGTCAGGGGTCTAATTTTTCAGTAATAACTTTTCAGTGACTGGGTCACCTGATTCTCATAAAGTACTGCACTCTTACCACAGACTCAATACTCAGTAATTTACTATCTTGGAGTAGGAGTGTTTCTTCATTGCAAATGTCAGCTTTAGGGATTTTCAAGAGGTTCCCTGTTAGAAAGAAGATACAGAGTTAGCTCCTACTTTCATTTTTGTTTTTATAGATTAATTACTAAAGAAGCTTTGGATAATTAAATAAGATGTTTTGGTCTCTTTATGTATGGCATATTTTTCCTGGATCTGGGGTTTGATCATGTGGCCTCATGTTTGCCAGGCAGGCACTTGAAACTTGCCCAGTTTTTGCTTTAGCTACTTTTCAAATACAGTCTCATGCCACTCTGGACTTTGATCCTCCCATGTGTGTGTGTGTGTGTGTGTGTGTGTATGTGTGTATATATCTATATATTTCCTACATAGCTAGGTTAGTGTTGTGATAAGATAAATAGTTAGATCCAAAGTTCACAAGCGAAAATGTGATGGATATATGAAATAAAAATTTCTCTGATAAGGAGATGTATTTGATAAGAGGAAAGACAGAAAAAAAAAGATGAAAGACAGTTTTTACTTGAAACCAATAGGACATGGGCGCACTGAGTGGGAGGAGGAGGGTCATGAGGACAGAGAAGCAACTGGGTGTTTGTTAGGCATTCACATATGTGCTATATTGTGGAAGAGATACTTGTAGGGCTTGATCACATGCTAGGTGTGCCATCATTCCTACTGTTTATACCTTCTCAAACAATCTTGCTTTTGCTCTTTTAGGCTGCAGAGACTTTTGATGGAGAAAATGGTGAAACCCAAACAATATCTCCTGCTATTCCTTGGGCTGCCTTTCCTCCAGGTACTGGTGCATAGCAACTAGAAAGTATTTTTCTCATTTTACCTTTTTGCTTTTGTCAAAGCCTATTTCACTTCATCTTTTCTGAGCTGGAAATTGAAATGCCTCAGATTGAATTTCTAGGTTAGTTATTGTTTTAATAACAAAAGTCTAGTCACAGGTGGCTCTGCCTGTAATCCTAGCTACTCAGGAGGATGAGAAGTGAGGACTGAGGCTTGAAGCTAACTGGGCAGAAAAGTTAATCAGATTTATCCCCCATTAACCACAAAAAAGTCAGAAGTGGAAGTGTGGCTCAAGGAGTAGAGCACTAGTCTTGAGTCAGGAACAGGGCCCAGACCCTGAGTTCAAATACCAGAACCATTAAAAACAAAAACAAACAAAAAAAAAAAATTCCATGATGGCAACTTGAAGCCTAATTCTAAAAAATGATAATTGGAACAAACAAAGACATTGAAGTATAATTTTCACTTAAAGAATTAATCTTAGTTTAGGAGGTTGAGGTACAACGTACTTGTTTTAGGTTGTTTTGTTTATTAGTTAACAGATAAAGCCATTAAAATTTAAATTTAGAAATTGCTTTGTAATAAAAGCATCCAAAAGTATTGTGATAGCGCTCAGTGGTAGAGCTTGTGCATATCATGTCTGAGGCTTTGAGCTCAGTTCCCAGCACATATATCCATTAAAGGAATTATGTATAAAAATGAAGAGCTGAAAGACAGCACCCAGGCCCAGAGTTCAAGCCCCATGACCACCACCACCAACAACAAAAGAATTCTATTGTTGAAATATATATCTTAGAAGACTTACAATTCTTTTATTCATGTCTGAATAATATTTGAAACTTGGTAATTTTTTTTGTCAAATCATTGGAATGTCAGGAGACAATTACAATTATTCACTGTACAAATATTTACCAATTGCTTGCTGTGCATTACAGACTCTTAGGTTAGAGAAACAGACAGAACATCCTCTAATCTTGGCTTCAAGGGCAAAGGCAGGCAGCATGCCTATTTGTAATGTGAAGCACATTTGTCATTGGAGAAAGAATGACTTTGTCATCTGTGCATTTAGCAAGTGTGTATCTGATGGTTGGCATGAGTGAGGCAGTATTCTTCAGGCTGGGTATTTATATTGTCCATCTGGCTTTTGAAAGACTCAGATGATTTCAACAGGCAGAGATGGAACAGTGGGAAGACATATCAAAGGCTGAAATCCAAAAGGAGTATGTAGTTCAGATGCTTATTTTTGCTTTCTATATTGTTTCCCCTGCCTGAAATTCTCCCTGCTTCCCATTCTTTCTCCTATCTCCCTTTTTCACACTATAAGCTGATTTTCCCTTTAATGTGTTATTTCTTGCTTTAATTGTTTTTCTAGGAACTTTTCCTAGGGAACCTTTTCATGTCTTCGTGGAACTTATTATGTGACTTCCATGTTGGATTGTAAGTTTTATTGGGTTGGATATTACCTAATCAAAATGATTTGATCTCTTGCTCTCTAGGTATACACATATGTTTGGTGGTGGTGGGATTTGAACACAGGCTCTAATGCTTGCTAGGAGGGCACTCTATCACTTCAACCAGACCCCTACCATTTTTTGCTATAGTTATTTTTCAAATATATTCTCTCTCTTTTTTTCCCCCCTTAGGCCAGCCTGGACTTTGATCCTCCTTATAGTTTATAGTTGACCTTATGTAAATATTTTCAGAGTGAATGAAAATGGAGAAAATGAGTAGAGGAGTAACTGAATCAATGAACAGTTTAGGATAACAATGGAAACCATTGAAAACTTGTATTAAACCATCCAACCACAGGAAGAGTTGGGGTAATAAATTACATTTATCTAGCAGGCAAGAGTTTAAATGTGGTGAGAGTTTGTTTATTGTAAAGTAGGAAGCACAGCCTTGTTCTGGTTTTTGTGCAGTTGAAAAGGGGTGGTTGAAAAAAAAGTTGGGAGTTTTAATACTGATAGATATGTTTAGGGATGAAACTAGTCTTGCAGATTCCATTTTAGTGGTTGTAATTTTTTTTTCTTTATACGAGTACCCAGGCTCGAACTCATCCCCTCACATAATTGTTTAGCTTTTCTAATCATGGTGGTGCTCTACCACTATAGCCATACTTCTTCTTTTAGCTTTTTGCTGGTTACTTGGAAATAAGATTCTCTGTTTTCCAGGCTCAGCAGGACCAGTGTACCTCTGCAAGTGTCTGCTTATATCCTGCAGTCCTTAAGAAAATGCTTTCACTGTCTCAACATCATTTATCCAGTGGTTCCTCCAAAATGCTGGCAGTGCTCATGATGGGTCAATACCTCACTAGTCAGTCAGTGTTCAGTAATGGTCTCTGGGTGATTGATTCCTTGAGTAGATTCAGTTAACTCTTCTTGATTGTTGCTCATTCTATGGTGGCGACAGTATACTCGATAAGTGAGAAGACCATAAAAGTAAACTTTCTCTCCACATGTATGGACCTTGGAAATCTTCAGTAATTACTCCAAGATGGCTAAAATGTATCTTGAATCTGCTGTTACTGGGGCTTGAACTTAGGGCCTGGTTTTTTCGTTTGGCTTTATCCACTCAAGGCTGATATTCTACCACTTGAGGCATGCCTCCACTTCTAGCTTTTTGCTGGTTAATTGGAGATAAGAGTCTCTCAGACATTCCTGCCTGGGTTGGCTTTGAATCTCAATACTCATCTCAGCCTTTTGAGTAGCTAGGATTACAGGCATGAGCCACCAGTGACCAGCTTATCTATTGACTTTACCCACAATTATTTGTAGGCATGTATCCCATTACAATATAGCATCTCATCTGTGATATGTATCTTCATGTTTCGCTTACCATAGGAACTAGAAAATGAGTTAATATGAAATCAGTTTCTCCTTTTACTTTTATTTTCCACAAACATGCAGAGTTTGTTACTTTATTTCAGTGAAGGCAACCAAAGAATAGACCCCTTCCCCATCCCCTTCCCCTCTCCCTCCCTCCCCCTTTCTTTCTTTCTCTCTCTCTTTCTTTCTTTTTCCCTCCCTCCCTCCCTCCCTCCCTTCTTCCCTCCCTCCCTCCCTTCTTTCTTTCTCTTTCTTTCTTTTTCTTTCTTTCTCTCTCTCTCTTTCTTTCTTTCTCTCTCTTTCCTTCCTTCCTTCCTTTCTTTCATTTTCAAACATTTATTGGTTGCAAACTTATGTTGGGAGTATAGGACAAATCAGAACTCAGGTCCTGATTTTAGAGAGCTTATTATTCCATTGGGAGAGGGTGAGAAAAAAGCACATAAGCAAACACATAAATACAGTGGTAAGGAAGAGCCTCCTCTGAGAAGGGATATTAGGAGCCTGTGGACAGGAAGCCAGGCAGTTCAAAGCTGAGGTAAGTGTTCTGAGCAGAGACCTCAGGGCAGAGGAAGAATTGCTTTTGTTGAGGCCCTTCCCTTCCTAGTTTCTCCTTAAATCATTGCTTCACCCCGCATTCCACCTTCCATGGTCATGGTGTTTGAAGCCTGTGGACTCATATCCCATGTGTGTGGTTTCCCATGCCTTTGCCATTCTTCCTGAATCTTAATACATCCCCTCATCTCCCATCTGCTCAGCTCAGCCTTCTTCTTCTTTTACAAAATGATGTAATACTTTCTAAATTTGCTCTGTATCTCTTCAATTGCTTCCTCTGAGGTACTTTTATAATTTTATCTCTATACTACTTGCTTAGAACTTAGCTGATGTCAATGTATATTTTAAAAAATCGTGTCCAAATATATATTGCTAAATTTATCATCTTAATTGTGTCACATGTGCAGGTTAGTATCATATCCTGTAAAACCAAAACTGTAGACCCATTCAAGATGACCCCTCATTTCCCCTCTCCCTCATTCCTGATAACCAGAATTATGTTTTCTGTTTGTATGAATCTGAATTGATTTAGCAAAATTGTGCATTATTTTTGCTACTGCTTATTTCATTTAGAATAATATTCTGAAGGTTCATTCAGTAGGATTGTCAAAATCTCCCCTTTTATTCTGAATAATATTCCAACTTTATGTTCTGCTCTATGTTAATAGGTATCATTAGAAGTTAGGCTCAAATGTAGTTCAGTATAGGACAGTAGTACTAATTTTCTTACTTCCTTGTCTTCTAATTTATTTCCATTTATTTCATTTAACAGTTTGTATGTCATCAAATGTAATGAAATTTGGAGTTTTTATAGTCATAGGGCCATATAGTTTAGAAAAAAAATTGTATTTGACTTGTGTTCTAGTTTTTCTCATTTTTTTGCTTAGTTTTTAAATTTAAACTTGGATGCATTTTAATTTTTTATTGTTTAATATAATTTTGTCATGAAGGTGATGTACAGAGGGTTTACCATTTCATAAGTCAGGTTATAAGTACATTTCTGTTTGGACAATATTACCCCATCCTTCACTTTCCCCCAGTTTCCCTCCCCTCTGCTCACAAGTTGCATAGTTCATTTTCCACATAGTGTATACTGAGTACCATGCCTGCATTTGTTCCTCCTTCCTCTCTCCATTTCTGTACTCTCCTTGCCTTCCCAAAAGACAGAAAAGAGAACAAACAAAACAAAAAATATCATCTCAGAAGGGAAGGGATAGGAAGGGGAAACAAAGAGGAGGCAACAATGCTTGATAAGAAATGTACTCATTATCTTGCCCATGTAATTATAACCCCTCTGTATGGTATTTTCACAATAAAAAAAAAGAAAAAAAAATCATCTCTACCCCTAACAAAGCCTCCCCTCCCCCATGTTTCCATTACCTGGAATGCATCTCAGTAACTAGTATTTTAAATGTGCCAGAGGCACTCCTCCCCTGAGAACGGCTTCTTTAGTCTCATTCTGTGTGTCGAAGCCCACAGCCCTGCGTAATTTATTATGCCCCAGTGTATTTTAGATCTAGCTTCCATATATGTCTCTCAAATATTTTTAAGACTACTACTGTTCTGCTCTTTAGGAACTAAGTGCAGAGAAGTTTCAAAATTGTTATCTTTTCATCTTCATATACTCTATAAATACAAGTATACCTGCAGTGATGCCCATTTTTACCTTTCAAGGAAAGCTTTCTGTTTCTTTGACCTTGAAAATTCTAGTCTTGGTTTAGCAATAGTATAAATTTCTCATTATGTTTTCTTATGGCAAAGTTTCAGAATTCCTGGAATTTATTTAAATTAATTCTTGAGCTTTTCACCATTCATTCATTTGGTTATCACATTGTAAGTGTACTATATATTGGATTTCCTTCTGTTTTCAATGATATTGAATGAAAGCTGTCCCCTCAAAAGACTGAACGTTCCATGACATGTGTCATTAGCATCTGCAAGTGCTTCCACCAGTAACTCTAGCTTCACTTCTTTGAGGAAGAAAGGCATATTGGTTCGGAAAGTGTTGTGCTATTGCTGTTTTGTACAGTGTGGGTGGTACTGTTTTAAAGGCAAATGACTGTTCACTTTTTACTTTCAAATATATAAATGTAAATTGTCTAGAAGGCAAGGTGGGAGGCAAAACCTTGAATATTGTCCTTTCCAATAATGTTTTAAGGCTTCTTGTAGGACTATACAGACCACATTAGAATGCATTGACCGTTAAAGGAAAAAAAAATAAAGTGATCCAGATAGATACTTTAATCCAAATTAGCTCCTTCAAAACAGCTTATACAGGGGGCAGACTAAACTGCCTGTCATAGGCTGACCCTTGAGAAGGAATCATGGGAATGGGACCAGCAGATGCTGGACCAAATAACTTAGATGTGGTTCACCTTGTGTCCCAAGCTACTTGCATACAAAGCCAACAGGAAAGTTCAAACATTTTTCTTAAGACATTGGCAGAGAGAAATCTGGAAGGCAGATGCCTTTTTGATTTCATGGTTCAACTTTTCCATTCTCCATTCTCCTGGCCAAGAAAACCTAGGACAGCAAATCGGTCATTTTATTAATACCCCATTCTGGCCTCTGCTAACCCTGTTTTTCCAGGAGAATCTGTGTTACATATCTATGCAAAGCTCAGAATCTGAATCTACAAATTTTGTTTGAGGAGGAAAAAGTGTTGCACTATTTTTTTCTGCAGATTCATCTATGGTTTACACAGAGTAATAATAAACATTAAGAAAACTCATGGTTCATTATATATTCACATACCTGGAGTTTTAACAGGCAATATAGATAATGTTTAAAAGCTTCCCTTTCTCTCCACTTTGTATCTGTATTAGACAATTTTTTTTTGGTCAGAACACACACTGGCTTTCCATTAGAACATAATCATTCCTTAGTGTTTTACACAGGTTATTTGAATGGAAAAACTTCTTTTTTTCTATTTCCTGTATTTACCTACCTATGCTCATATCTCCCCATCCCCACCCCCCCAGCTCTTAAGTCACCTTGCTTTGTTCTGGAATCAGTTCATTAAACCAACTCTAAAATGATGACATCTGTAAAATAGTGAAT